GGTATGGGTATTAAAAACTTTAATTAAAATAATGTACAAGAACAACGTTTCGACCTTCTTAGGTCATCTTCAGGTTAACCTAAGATGACCTTAAAAGGTCGAGACGTTGTTCTTGTACATTATTTTAATTAAAGTTTTTAATACTCATACCAGCCGTCTCTGCTATACATTTAAAATAACCTTTAAGAACCATTTCCTGTGTGCTACAAATCACTTTTGTTAAGCCTTAAAAGCCTCATTGACTTCGACAGCGTAGATATCAACGCCTCTACAGTATATCAGTTGCACTGGTGTTAATTTCGGATACACGTTTTTGTTGCTACAGTTTATTCTAGTTGATGAGTCCTGGTATCCAATGAAAGGTCTCAAAGACAGTCACTTGTGGTATTTAAATGATAGAGCAGAAAATATATCTTTGACTTTAAATCCTTATTGGGCTACTTAAAAGAGGATTATAAAAAAAACAACAACATCTGTTATCACATGATTTTAATGGTTTTAATCATAATTTAGCTAGGTTATGTGCTTTACGTAATTGTATAATTAGGTGTAATTATTTTGATATTTTTTGATGTTGTTGAATTAAGAACCAATGTAAGAGTTTATAATAGACTTGTAACGTATGTTTAAGCTCACATCCAACAGAATCTTTATTTATACAGCTTCTATTTATCTACTGAAAGAACCACAATAATTCAGTTTATAGAAATGTCTCGTGTTTTCATGTTTAGTGTAAACGTAATGGGTTGTAAGGCATTGGCAGTTATCAAATTATTTGTAGTAAATAATAAATATAGAATATAAAATAAGAAGTTGGAAGTGATATATCTTGATTATTTTCTGTCAAATATTCGCAACTTAAACCTATAATAATTAAATAATAACTATGATAAAACTAAATGAGAAAAAGAACATGGTACAGGAATATCTCAAGGTAGTCTATTTAAGTATCTCTATTAGTAGCTAAAATGAATGCCACTATGTGTTTTTCGGTATATAGACGATATATTTTAAATAGTTTCTCTGTGTATGTGAGTTATATTATAAATGGTTTCTATGTGTATATACGCTATATTATATGTAGTTGATCTGTGTCTGTGCGATATATTATAGATAGTTTATATATGTATATACACTATATCATAAATAGTTTTTATGTGTATATACACTATATTATATGTAGTTTCTCTGTGTAAGTGCGTTATATTATATGTAGTTTTCTTTGTATATGTATATATCATGAACCACTATAGTGGTTCATAATAGGGATCGCACATGAATTTGCTCAAAACTGTAATAAAACATTCCGGCAAAAACCACCTTAAAAAGCAGATTTATTCTTGAAACTACACTCAAAATCTACTTTTCCAATAGTTAAGACCACCCAAACATTGATATTAAGCAAAATAAGTGATTTCACGATTGTAGACAAAATCAAAATTTGCCCATTTGTTCATATTATTATTAATATTTTTGTTTCACAAGCCTATAGTAAAATCGGCTGGGTATTGTGCTCCAAAACCTAGACAGATATACTATATAGAACGCTGCCAATGACCTATTTAAAAATTGATTATTTTTCATTGAAGGTATATTTACGTGGCTATAAACACGTAATAGTTGTGATGTTCCTATCAGCGGCAGCCTTTGTACTCGACATGTGTTTACACGAAATCTCAGGTACAAAGCCACATGACTCAGTAAATAATTACTTTAAACGGACCAAAGCTATATTTAAAGCTATATTTTAGATGTCTTTGTTTTATTTGAAAAGGCTGCTTAATGGAGCTTGTGTCTTACACTCAGCATATATTTACCCATTGATGTGCATTAACAAAGCCAACATACAAGATAATTAAAAATTTAAAATTTAAAATCTACAAATAGGGATCGTAAAAAAAGTAAGCAAGCAAGGTTGGAGATATACTGTTGACAGTTTGCTCAAACTACAAATCCCTGTTATGACTCTACTATAAACTTATTGCAAGTGATGTCTACTGTAATGTGGGATCACACAGGAATTTTTCAAAAACTGAGAGAGTAGTTTTAAACTTAATTCCATCTCTTTAATTTTGTCGTGCTGCGAAACTTTTCTAAGTCCTTCACTTTCCGCCATCAAAAAATCCAGTGTTTTCCTAGCGTGCGCGTCAGTTGGAAACTACAACTCGTGCATTTTCTAGCACATTAATTGGAAACTGCCACATGAAAGGTTCCTTCCATATCGTTACTCGAATCGCTATTGTTCATCTTTACTCGAGTTTGCTGTCTCTACGTGGATTTCCGCGACAATATTCCAACAAGTTTTTAAGTGAACGATTACCATAGTAGATTTCCCTACTCAGACGACGATTGCGATTATTTCCACTGTTTCTCATACTTAGCTGAAGTCGTGAGTGTGTATTATATATATATGTCATTCAACAGCCTGCTGTGCACAAGTGTTTGCTAGACTAAGGCGACACAATAATGCATGCAAGATTGACAACAGCGACATACTTAATGTAAGACACCAATTATTGACATTTACAAGCGCTACCTTAACATCAACTACTAAAAAATAACAATAGCTATATGAAATAGTGCTATATGCAGTGATAATAAATACTGATATGCGCCATTTAGACCGAACAAGGTAAGCATGTTACTGAGTCTGCTTACATTGCATTAATCTGTGCTGTATCATCTTAGAAGAAACATTATTCCATTCTGATAAGATTGATTTACTGCTGCTCGTCTTTTGTTACATTACACTGTGACATCGATGGAAGCCGATTATTCGATCTGTGATGATACAATATTTGCCTTCAAAAGGACCCTTTGAGAACAACTTTACATTTTGTTTGTTGCAGCTGTATACCAGTACATGTGTTTATTCTTTGTTGTACATTTGTTATTTATTTTGAATAAGTTCAGTGTGATGGTTGGATGGAAGAAAAGCCAATGCAGCAGTAAACTGTTGAAAAACGCCTAACATTGAACTGAACGCATATGCATTTATGTAGCTTAAAATTTATTCTCCATAAACAGACATAAAAACTTAAGAAACAAGATTAGTAAAAAATTGTTAACTTAAAAAGGGGAAATAGGGATTGTCAACTATGAACAGAAACAAGTTAAATCAAAATGCAAATATTATATTTTCAAGCCTACAACTAGGGATTCCAAAGTTAGGTAAACAAACAAGGCTGAAAATAATGTCTACACTATTTTCTCAAGCTACAAATCCCTGTAATGACTCTACTAAAATTAACAAGTACTGTAGACATGGAGCCAAAATAGGGGTCTGTAGGCCTATTTTACTTGACTCAGTTGATAACCCTATGCTGAATTATGTTATGTTTCGTCCTAAATAAATAAGTCATTTCTGTTTAATCTAGGAGAACCTTTGAGTGACCTAACTGACAACAGGAGTTCCTTACCAACATGGAAGCAGAGACACTTGTCTAAAGAGGGAATGTACCAGGCTACGCCGGTGCCTTGGAACCCATTTAATGGTTGGTGCATGGATGGTTATTTAAATCTACAATTATCCAAAAATATCATCATATCTAATTAGACTGTGTTATCGGTGTATACCATTTAGCTAAACTAATATATTTGTAACGTAGACATTGTCTCTAATTCATGTCAGAGTACTGTATTATGAAAACGACAATAATTTTACATTGATTGAAGTTAACTAAAGATATATAATTATAGAGAAACAATGCGATATGCTTGTAGCAGCAAACACACGTTAGTTTAAATTAACTTACCATGTTTTTAACATTGCCTAATAATTACTCTTGATGATTACTGATAATGAAAAACACAGAAACAGATATGTCAGCTAGGAACTGTAAAAGTATGTTTCTGTCAAGTATTAAATATCCCAAAAGTATAAATACTGGTTACCTTCTTTACAGAATCTTCTGAATATTCCAAAGATGGAGGACTTATGTGTTCAACTTTTGTACAGGATGGAGTTTTGGGAAAAACGTGTCTGCTGGGAACTGAAACTGATTGTTTCCAGAAAGAGGAAACTATTTACTGCAACGGTCCTCTCCAACCTGGGACAAATTATGGGTAGGTACATATAGTCCTGAAGTAGACACAAAAAAGTCGTTTTTCGATGTTTGAAACTTAGCTGCATTTTTATTGGAATAATTATATGACTAATAGGTAAAGATAAATGTGTGCAGTGTACTAAAACTACTCTTTAAACGAGTTTCTTTGTATATGTACAACTTGAAATAGAAATGTTTATTAGGCTAATTAATAACGATGTGTTTAAAGCTATTATCTGTGTCACTTCGTTACATCTCTAAACCTCAAAAATATTATACTAGTTTCATACGACTTCAGATACGAATAAAAACATATACATCGTTCGAATAAATTTCGGAGTAAGAGTTAAGCACTTTTCCGTGTTTAATAACTAATATACCATCATTTTAGATACAGTTTGGTTTGAGTTAAGCACAAAGCTACACAATGGGCTATCTGTGCTCTGTCAACCACGGGTATCGAAACCCGGTTTCTAGCGTTGTAAGTCTGCATTGGGGGACATCATTTTAGAAGAAATCAATACGAGCCTATATATGCTGTTTCCAATTTGGTGGTTAGTGCGCTCGACTCGCAATCTGTGGGTCGCATGCTTGTCAACGAAAATACTCGCCCCTTTAGCCTAAGGGGCGTTAAAATGTAACAGTCAATATCATTTTTGTTGGTCAAGAGCAGCCAACAGTTAGCGATGGGTGGTGTTGACTAGCTGCCTTCCCTCTAGTCTAGCACTTTTAATTTATGGACGGCGTGCGCATATAACTTTGAGTAGTTTTCTATGAAATTTAAACAAACAAATAAACTGTTTCTAACACTTTGCAAACTTTAGCAGTGACTTTTATACATTAGTTACGAAATCTGATGAAGATAAAGAAATGGAAGTATATATTTGCTCAAGATAAAGGTTGTGGTTGTTGGTGTTTTTTCATTAAGATTTAAGGCAGACATTAGTATATTAAAACATAAATGAAGGCAGAAGTTAACACGTGAATGAAGGATATATAAACATGTGCATGATTCCAGTAGAGTGTGATAGCATGATAACGCTAACTGTACCATGAAATGAGTGTTTACTATTAAGGTGAATTTCATCTAAAACCTAAGCTGAATTGTTTTAAAACTTTCCTGGGGTTAAGTTCTGTTTAAACCACCCACCCCACCATCTCACCCCCCACACATACTTAAGGACTTCAGGCAAAACTAATTCTTACTATTTTTGATGTTTTAGTCTGAGTGTAGCCTTATTTCATAAAATATGTTTTGATGAGACAATCTTCCTGGAAAATGCCAGGCACTCTTTCACTAAAATTAGTTCCACCTTAGAGAGCACAAAGAGAAAACTATGGCTTTGCGTCCCGTATAACAAGCATAAGTTTCTTAGAATCCTTAACTAGAAAATACGAGAAAGACGAAATAAATATTAATAATCCTTTTATTCCTAATAATGCCGAGTACCTAGAAGATAACTGTGCAAGTGAAAACATTTTGTCAAGATATGTTTAAAAGAAACCAAAACAGTTATTGAAACCAATAAAACAAATCCACGGAAAGTTTCAGTGAATTTCACTCTTACAAATATATTTACTAGAAAACTGTTATTTTCACTTTAAAAAAATCATTTCATGAGTTTTGACTATGCCCTATTTTATCATTTAAATCTTAACATAAAACACCTTATTGGGTAATTCAACATGATCTAAACTCTTTTCTGAGAAACCGTCTTGACTTAGACAAGTAGATTGTTTGTCTTAAAGTTATAACAAGTTAAATACACTAAGAATCTAATTACAGGAAGCTTAAGGAACTCAACCTTACTTCTCCTCCAAATGAGTGAAATTATCTGACGACCAATAAATATATAAACATAAGCCAATGAGAAAGATGTGAGGACATTAAATTTCATTTGATTCATTCCTAGTCAGACTCTGTTTCTATTCGGCAGAAAAAATTCGATAATAACCAACGGGAAAACCTATTTCAATTAAACCTTTCATTCAAAAAACATCAAATTAAAATCGCTTTCATTTTAATCACAATACTTAAGTAAAAAATCATAATTATTCCATCAACCAATTTTTTCACACTTTTCTTGGTTTCTGTAATTTATTACGAGATTGTGTATTGTGATAGTTTCATAACTAGTATTAAACGGATATGAACAATATACGGTGTAAGCTGGCTCATATTTCAGTCATCCAAACACGTATATATATGCATCTTTCTTAACAAACCAACCGAGACAAATGTATCACAGCAGATAATCAACAAATACTTGGCAGTTACGAAAATGTTCTCTGAATAAGAAAATTTAGATGTAAAGATAACGCCACTAATGTAATTGACATAAAGTGGTCACGGAGCATGTTTCTTGTTTTGATATTTGATTGTTCCCCCATCTGGCCTTGATAACTGCTTAAAATCGCACTGTCATAGAGTGCACGAGGGATTGAATGTAGGCAGGAGTGACTTCATGGTGCCACAAGTGGATTAGGGCTTCCTGAAGTTTCAAGTAACCCACGTGCGCATAAGGTGATGTTCAGGTTAAAAATTTCAATTCCATATAGATTTATTTGTTTGTTTGTTTTGGAATAAGACCACATTGAGCTCTCTGCTGTGTCCATCGCGGAGAATCAAACACCTGATGTTAGCGTTGTACGTCTGTAAACTTACTACTGTCTCACTGGGAGAACTTTCATATAGAACTATCTTTGGTAATACTTAATCAAATTACATTAGCTATTTCAGTTGCTTAAAATACTTTGTAAATACGTATGTGAAATTTGTATACACTCAAGTAATTCTCAATATTAGTTTCAAAATGTGGTTTATAGATGTGGAACAAACAACGTTTTTACTAGCTAGTTTGTACATGTGCTTCGAATATCTGATCCTAACTAATCGTTTCAAACTAAAGATAAGTTTAAAAAAAATTTAATTAAATTTCTACCAATATTTCGTTTGAATCACAAATAACGTAAGTTTTATTACATCTATTTTCAAGAAGAATTTTTTTGTATATAAGTCTATAACTAAATACTGAAATGACAAATTTTCTTGGAAGTCTTTAAAGAATGTTTTTTTTCTTGTCAACAAGATATAAAAAACATCTATACTATTATAGGATCAAATTGAGAGGTTATACTCGGAAGGGATACTCTGAGACCTATCCTCTTTTTATTCAAACAGGTGAGTTATATTTCAAGTTTACTTTGGTCAGTCGAACATTTATATATATATATATAAAGATTTAATTCACTGATAATAAAAACTTATAGCTTCAACAGTGGAAAAAACTTGCCTATTAAATCGGCGAAATGTTTAATTAGAATCATCATGCTTAAGAAGTCGGTGTATTAGTCGTCAACCAGCTTCATATTTTATTAATAATTTTAATTAACCCTAATTGTACTGCAATTCAGTGGTTGTTAATAAGTGTCCTAAGCACAAGAATAATATCTGTTCTTTTCTAAAACTATAGAAAAGTGTATAATCACTTTTTCGACAACATATTTATTAATTACACGCATTTTACTTCTTTAATATTGTAATCTAACAAACTGTTACTAGCCTAATTGTCAATAATACATTGATATTTATCAAATAAATGACCAAATAATTTGAGATAAAACCACGTTTTATTTACCACTACCTAAACAACGTGTATAATAGGCTTTGTTAATGTGAGAGAATCAACAAATCTCTAACTATATTGTTCCTTTCATTAATAAAATTGGTTAAATTAGTTTTATTTACCACTACCTAAACAGCGTGTATAATAGGCTTTGTTAATGTGAGAGAATCAACAAATCTCTAACTATATTGTTCCTTTCATTAATAAAATTGGTTAAATTACTAACTACTTAGTTTTATTTCATTCTAAATTATCGTTTATTGTTATATTTTTAGCATAAATATTGATTTGCATTTTTAGCTTAGATTTTGCAATTAGGACTAACTGACCGAACCCCGTGAGATATTATATGACTTACTGCCGAAAATATCGTTAGCAAATGAGACAATGCATTCTAATATTTATAAGTCGATATGTAAGAATAATATAGTTGATTTTTAGTTTCTCACTGGGTACATAGCTTACATTGATCGAAGGTTATTATTATTATTTATTGTTAGTTTTTTTATAATAAAATATTGAAGTAGAAATAGCGCTCTAAAAATAATAAAATTAGGCTAAAATGATGTGAAGATGGGAAAAAATGCTCAAAGTCTGGTTATTACACTTGAATTCAGATGTTGATATTTACAGCGTTTTCATCTTCAACAATAAAAAGATATTTAATATTATTTCACAATTAATGGCAGTGTATGTATATACTAGCTGGAGTACCCGTCCCCTGGACGAAAGTTATGTAAATTCATGATTAATGAAAGGTTATCTTAAGACATGAAAAGTTGCTTCCCTTATATGTAATTGTAAAAAACGCCCATAAAAACTGCAAAACACAAAATGTGAAATTGAGTATTTTTATGTATCTCCCCAAGGACCCATCAAATCTTCATGCCAAACCTGGTAAAGATCCATCAACAGGGGGCGAAGTAGTGGTAAAAAACTCGAAAGCGCAAAAACGTCCATAAAAACCTCAAAATGCAAAACTGAAAATGTGTATATATATTTTCATGGACCCAATAAACCTCCATACCAATTTTGGTGAAGATTTATCCACACCCTGCGAAGTAGCTACATGGAAATACAACAGACAGTACTGTTATACTTATATAGATAAGAAAAAGCTGGTTATTTTTTTGATGTTTCATCCTAAAAGTTTGTTTGTTTTCATTCGTACTCTTATAGCTTGCTCCCGATATGAATTTGACTGTTTTAATGTCACTTGTAAATAGTTAATTTTCTCCTTTTTTATCTTGATTTTTTTGGTGTAGCATCACCTGAATCAGAAGCTAAGAAGTCCAACGCGGCTACAATAGGCCTGACACTGATGGTCTTGATTATTTTCATTGGTACCGGGCTGTGTCTTTTGTATAGAAAAGGATACTTGTAAGTATGAATAGTAATCTCAAGGATTTAAAGATAAAAAAACTATAACTGTAAAATAAATAAACCACTTATTACAACGAAGTACGATGTAAAGAAACATTTTAAGTAACGTTATACATATTACTGCTAGAATTAGAAAACTAATATTTTTTGAAGAAGTGAAGTTTGTTTCACGGTAACAATTGAAACATGGACAATGTAGTACATCTGTTATTGTTATTTTTCATATATAAGAATATACATACATGTGGTATAGATGAAATGTTGCCGAAGTAATAAATACTATGTGACGAAAGTATGTGTACTACGTGCACTTATTTTCATATGGTAAAACATTAAAAAATCAATGAATGAAGCTCGTTTCTTCCTGGATGAGCCTACAAGTAACATACCTTTTCGTGACATGTTATGGTAATTTTTACTTGTTAGTGTTTAAGGGTTATAGTGACAAAAGGGCTCAGTGGTATAAATAGATTCCCATGTGTCTGCATGATATTATCTTATGAAAAACCGAAGCATGTACTTTTCGTGATAACCAAACACTTAGACGCCTTTCAAAAGTCATGATATGGAATCAGTAAGAATTATTTTGCGATTCTCTGCATCACAATTAAAGACATTCGTTCTCTCCCTGTATGTGTGTGTGTATTATATATATGTATATAAATATACATCTTTATAAAAGATTCAATTTTTATCTAGTCCTGAAACTTAATTAATATGAATAAAAACAGCTTTCACAAAATTTTATTTGGAGAGCTTAGAAGATCTCTTTATCAGGTTTCCCACGAAAGTTCATCGTTTAGCAACAGGGATAACTACAGTAACCTTTACTGCCAATACTAGGCTTAGGAGGCTCTTTCGAGTGGTTCAAGAAACACCAAGAGATTTGGAGCTACTTAACCGTGCAATTCCAAATAATAAGAAGTAAGATTTTCACTTTCGTTGTTAAGGCTTCACAACGTTAGGGACAAAACATTGCTTCTAGGAAACAATTAGCTACTAAGTTAAGGCTTCACAACCTTAGGAACAAAGCATTGCTTCTAGGAAACAATAAGCTACTAAGTATTAGAAACCTTTTATCCGTGTTTCATTGTTTCTGTTTCACATTCACAGGATTTACACTACATAACATAATAAACTGAGAGAATTCCTTTCACTTCATTACATCGGTTACATTTCTTAATCGTGGATGCTAGTCTGTGAATTCTTGTAAACTTCCTATTCCTTAACACAGCTTATATTCTGGAGTATCAAAGCATTCAAACGTATGAAAGAGAAAAGATATTTGTAGAACAAATGATTATTGATTGTAGCTTATTCAGCAGGCTCTTTAGGCTACATGCGTTGTCTGTGTACGCTTGGTTCTTCAGGTTTACTGTACGAAACATACACTAACAATCCACATGAAAGGTTGAGTTGAAATTTGCTTTGTTTTCTTTACATATGTTCCAAGAATGTTACTTATTTTGTTTCTTATATCTTTGGCCCGGCATGGCCAGGTGGTTAGGGCGCTCAACTCGCAATCTGAGGGTCGCGGGTTCGAATCCCTGTCACACCAAACATGTTCGCCCTTTCAGCCGTGGGGGCGTTATAATGTGACGGACAATCCCACTATTCGTTGGTAAAAGAGTAGCCCAAGAGTTGGCGGTGGGTGGTGATGACTAGCTGCCTTCCCTCTAGTGTTACAACGAAATAGTATTATTTTAATCTAAACCTTCCTGCTACGAGAAGTTCTTTGGTGAAACAAACAATATACAATATGAATTGAAATAATTCATCTTTTAAGATATAATAAAAATTCAGTCGGTCTTATGATCTGAAGACATGTAGTTTGTGTTTATGCAAATTATGTAACAGTTCCGTACTTTCTCCTGTCTTATAGTCCCTCACCACCATGGAAGGAAAAGCAACAGTCCGCTGCGAACTCAATTGCTCTGTCTTTTGATGTAAAAACCAGGTGAGTAAAGTTTGTTTATTGTTAAGAAGGAAACTAAATATTGAGCTATCTGTAATATGTCCACCTCGAGTATCGAAACCCGAATTTTAGCATTATAAGTTTTCAGACTTACAGCTGAACATCGTTAAAAATAACAATAACTATAAGTTACTCGTGTTAAGTATACAACCATTCAATTCTTCCCATTTAAATATATAACCATTCAATTCTTCCCAGTACAGTTTTCTAACGAACACTAGTTAATAATTACCAAAAAAAAAAAAACATGACTCTACGCAAATACTAACAATCATTACCAGAAAATAAATTGCTTGACATAAATTTCTAGCTAAAATCAGGTTCTTTATAATTATTAATAAGAAAACAAATAGATGAATATGTATAAAATACCGATTTAAATGTTGTATGGAATGTTAGTTACAAACACAACAAGTATCTGTTTTTAAATGTTGATTGAATGTGCTATTTTTATTTGATATATAGATCACAGATAGATAAAAATATTTTTTATTTAGATGTGTATGTTATAGAACATAATCCTTGTAGTTGAACTTATGATTTAAAACAATAGTAAAATTGTTTCGCCTTAACACTGTGGATGAGATTTTATTTATTATATGGAAGACATTTTAGAAGTTTTGAACTAAAGCAAGTTTCAAAAGATACAAGAGGTGCAGTATGAGTTTTTCTGAGCTATTCTTATGCAAGTCAACATACTGATACCAGCAATCAATAATAATAATATTCTAAATCTCTAATTGTTTGAAAGGTCGGAAGGTTACTTTCACAGTACGCTTCATTTGTCGTTTATGAACTTATCTGTGTAAAGAATTTACTCACCATAGCCGCCCCCATAAAAGCTCAATATTAGGGTTCTTATGAAATCCATGTAGCCCAAATTGTCTCTTTTGGGGGGGGGAGCTATTCCCGAGGGTTATCAGCTTCAGTTTTTTGACTGGTTATGTAAAGCCATTATTCAGTTTCCTTTTGAAATAGTTCTGATTATTGTCTTATACTGCTCAGTTTAGAACTTCAAACTGATTATACATAAATTAAATCTTCACAACGAAATAGTTTTATTTTAATCTAAACCTTCCTGCTACGGGAAGTTCTTTGGTGAAACAAACAATATACAATATGAATTGAAATAATTCATCTTTTAAGATATAATTAAAATTCAGACGGTCTTATGATCTGGAGACATGTAGTTTGTGTTTATGCAATTTATGTAACAGTTCCGTGTTTAGCGTGTAACACGTTTGTAGCAAGATATTAAACTACTCTCTATTGGAATAGCTTCTTCTAATATTAAATAAAAACCTATTTCTTTCTCAGGTCAGTGAAAATAGCGGACTTTAACAAACATTATGAAGAAATGATCTCTGATTCAGCTCTCAAATTCTCCAAAGAATTTGATGTACGTATTTCAGTATATATATTTTTTCACAATATATGTATAGCTTGACATAAACACACAGAAGTCAAGGAATCTTTAGTTTCTAGCTGTCTGTTGACATATAGTAAAGTGGATGTTAAACGTAAAAATTATCATTATGTTTTGCTTTCATTTTTCAACTAATTTGATAAAGACAACACAATTGTTAATTATGTCTACTAAGTCTCTAAGCAAATACCTGATATAGAATGTTGAATATGCGTTAAGCACATAGTTAAAACTATTGCTAACATGGCCAAAGCTATTAGTGCCTTGAATCGTTTTTAGTGTTTATTCGTTTTCTTATAAATGTGTAATTTTGCATTTTACAATAAGTACAACATTCTAACGAAAAAGTTTTAATATTGGGAGGTTTGAAGGTAAATTTCGCTCTCAAAACAAAAATTGAATTAATTCAGGTGTTAGAAAATCTAAAAGGTAATTTTACAAAATTGAAAAATGTATATGTTGATTTAAGTTTCAAAAATAAGTTAAAATGTAACGTATAAAATGAAGTCTTAATGACCAATATATATATATTTTCCATAGGAGTTGAATCACAAAAGTAAAAAGTGTCCTCAGACTGCAGCAGAATTACAAGAAAATCGATCTAAGAACCGATGGATTAACATCCTGCCATGTGAGTTCCTTGCATGCTCTTGGGCTTTAAATCATTTTTAGACCAATGTCGTAAGGATACAGAATATTTCTCTTCCAACCCTCTTACTCTCGATGGTACAGTAATTTAGATGTAAAACTAAATACCTTTCTTATCTTAGTTTATAAAGGGATTTATTTATCTGAGGAATTATAGCGTTAGCTTGGTAATACATTTTCTGTGATTGAATTGTGATGTCCCAAAACTTCCCCATGGTTTCCAGTGAAACTGACATGTCATTGTAACTATGTCTTTTGTTCAGGGAAATGGTTATGGAATAACAACACCGTTATGTATTTCCACTCTGATTCATTGATTTAAACTTAACTGTAATTAAGTATGCAAATAGAAGTATACAGTATATTTATGATTGAGTAGAATGTTAATTTTCCTCTTCTAGAAATTTTCAAAACGTAAGCTTTCGATGTATAAATTAGAAGAGACATGCAATTATGAGTAGAACAATAATACAATGCTATAATTTTATTTTCTTTGGCAAAAGCCATATTAGCAAAAAGATTACACAGTACTTAGATTCAATAATGGCTTCGTCTTTTTAAAGAAGCACAGTACATTTTCAATTTAAAAATATCTTTGCATGAATACTTCAGTTGATAAGCATACCTCAGTATTCTGCTCTTGCTAATTTTTAGTGCACCTTTTTCTAGAAATGACTGAATGGCATGATAGGCCGTAGTTATAATTCAAGGGCTTGTGGTATATATATATTTTACTAATTATAAAATCGCCACCAGGTGGCTCAGCAGCATATCTGATGGCTTATAACACTAAAAGTCGAGTTTCAGTAGGCTCAACATAGACAGCTCATTCTGTAGCTTTGTGCTTAATAACAAACAAACGATTGTCAAGTTAATTACTATTTACACAGGGAAGGTTTTCTTTTTAATAATATAATTTTCAAACTCGAAATATTAAATTCGTGAAAACCAGCAAAATAATTATAAATACCACTTTGTTGAGGAGAAGAATGTCTCACTAGGAGGCAACGGTCTTGTAAAGTCACACACTTCACACAGTAAGCTATCTCACCTTTAACCAGAGCTACGTTTGTGACAGAAGTAACTACCAGGAATTACCGGTAAATCGGAATTCTTTCTGACTACCATTACAAATTGAGCTTGCATAATTAGTTCTGATCAGTTAAATGTCTAACTGACATCATTAAATGGATTTAATGACATTGAAAAGCGGTTTGGTAAACAGACTTTAATCAGTAGACGTAGTCAATTCCACCTCTGTTTCTCCCTGTTGCTAAGTTTTTATCACTAGAGTGTTTATCAACTGTCAGAAGGCAATGCGTCACTGTATCAGTTTTCTTCTGTCTCCTGTTGGCCTTTTCTGCAATTATTTTCAATATAAACAAATGCAAGTAGGCTGTACTTTCACAACCAGCGTTTCAACAAATCAACACGACATCAATATAACAACTTTTCCATTTATTCATGTTATTCACAAAATTCCAACTGCTTATTTTCCAAGAACTAACAATGTCATATAATGGATAGAGATTTGGTTTAAATGGACTACATCTGCCTGGTTCTAGTAGAGGGGAACGACATTTCGACATCTATACTGAGGTCTTATGCAGGAGAAGTCCATTTAAGTCTAATCTCTAACATATCTACAATGCCTAGAATATCCATGAAATAACAATGTTGCATACTATTACTATTTCTAAAAACTTCTAACGTCTACTTCAGTTCACATATTATCTTAGTTACAAGTAATCTCTGAATTTTAGAATATTTCAGGGTAATTCCAAATTAATTACGTTTCGCTTGCTAATGAATCAATAATAAGAACTTGGTTTATATCAATTTTTACCGCCAAATTTCAATACTTATTTGACGAGAGACCAGGTTAATATTGTGGAACACTGCATTTAGTGATACGTTAAGTAATTTTATGCATTTACCTCTATAGGAACTCAACATCAGTGAACACGTGACTTAAATAACATTATACTGTAAGTTGACGTAATCCATGAAATTTCTTTTTCAAGTTAGTATTTAAAGTACACTGTTCGTTTCCTTCTGAAATGAAAACAACATAAAGGTAACTGCAAATACAATGATAATACATACCAGTGTATTTAGTGGTGAATTGTTTTTAAAATTATTTATTGTACAATAACGAGAAGTATATTAGTACATGTCGAACGGTATACAAGTGAGTGGCACAGCGGTATGTCTGCGGACTTACAACGCTAGAATCCGGGTTTCGATACCCGTGGTGGGCAGAGCACAGATAGCCCATTGTGTAGCTTTGTGCTTAACTTCAAACAAGCGAGTGCTCTAGACGTTTAACTATATTTAATAATAATCCACGAAATGATTTCATTTGTACACTACGTTATTTGCAGATAAAAGAAATAAATAAAGACTTGTAAGCATATTAAATGTATCGACTATACTTTTGATGGATATTATAATCATATTAATCACATAGGTATACAGATCCTAACGTTTCGCTTCTATTTTTTTCAGTTGATCATTCTCGAGTGAAACTTCTTCCGATTGATGACGAACCCAGCTCGGATTACATCAACGCTAATTATATTCCTGTAAGCCTTTTGCGGCTTGTCAGTACAATTAAATAATAATATCGGTCAATTATTGCAGTACAACAGTGTATTTCTCAGCAAGTCCATAAATATTAATTAATTAATGTATAATCTTCTACCCTTCTAATTTTAAGCTGCATTTAATCAATATTATCATTCTATGCAGAAACGAATTTACTTAACTATTTTTCACCTTTTAAAATTTTTACTGTCTCAATAGGGTTTCTACTCGCCTCGAGAATACATCGCAACCCAAGGCCCTCTACCAGGTACTATAGATGATTTCTGGAGAATGGTCTGGGAACAGAACGTAACGATAATTATTATGGTTACCCAGTGTGTTGAACGCGGGAAGGTATGATTCTACACAAAACAATTTTTTTCTGGTTTTGATAATAATCAATAGATTGTTGTTTAGCCATAGAATCTGTCTCATTATACAAATTACATATGTAAACGTCTAATATAACATGCATTTCTCAGTTTGACAGCGCTAAATGTATTTGTATTCCATCTTAACAATAATGATCTTATTTGTTAAAAAATATGCAATATTTTGGCTAAGAATGTATTTGCCATTAAAACGTCTTTATAATTACAAATGTCGATTTGTTTTTCTAGCGTTTCAATAAACATGAGTTATTGCAAGTCAGAGTCAGTCAGATGTTTTTTCCACTACTTTAAATGTTACATATACTGATTTAGATATTTGTGATATTATTTTTCTAACATTTCAATACGAGCAAAGTATGCCGACCAATAAGTTTAATTTGTTTTGCCAGTGTCGTGCTAAATATGGTGTATAGGGGGGTGATAAATCTACTTTGTTTTGCTAGTGTCATGCTAAATATGATGTATACAGGGTGATAAATTTAAGTTGTTTTGCTAGTGTCATGCTAAATATAATCTAAGCGGAGTGGTAAATCTAATTTGTTTTGCTAGTTTCGTGCTAAATATAATCTAAGGGGAGTGGTAAATCTAATTTGTTTTGCTAGTGTCGTGCTAAATATAATCAAAGCGGAGTGGTAAATCTAATTTGTTTTACTAGTGTCGTGCTAAATATGATGTAAACGGGATTATAAATATAATTTGTTTTGCTAGTGTCGTGCTAAATATGATGTATACGGGGTGATAATTCTAACTTGTTTTTGTAGAGTCACGTTAAATGTAAGGTATATAGACCAAGTCATATTAATGTGCGATATACCAACAAATAAGTCTGGACGCTTTTCTAACACATTAAATATTGATCTGTAATTCGGATTTTTTTTTGTAATGTTATGTGAAGAATTATGTATAAATGCTCTAAAATTTAATTTTATTTTAAAATACGGAACTTGTTGGTAGTGCTCATCGACATGCTAGTTTTTTCCCCAATATGTTTTTTAAATTTCAGACCAAATGTGAGGTGTACTGGCCAACTGATACAGAAACTCAACTGTATGGCGACCTTGAAGTGCAGATGACCTCGGAGTCGATTTTAGCTGAGTATGTTATTCGAATATTTCATGTACAGTTGGTAAGTAATTAATTTATTCTATAAATATTTATATAACTTCATATATATTCTATAAATAATTATATAACTTCATATATATTCTATAAATAATTATATAACTTCATATATATTCTATAAATAATTATATAACTTCATATATATTTTATAAATAATTATATAACTTCATATATATTCTATAAATAATTATATAACTTTATCTATCTACAGAATAACTATAAAACTTATTCTTTCAAAATGCATACCATGTTCAGAAATTATGTCCCCAGTCTGGTTTCATGGCTATCAGTGTGGTCAGTTTCAATATCGTATATATGTCACACCTCATAATGATGCTCTTAACCTAAGAAAACGTCATACTGTTCCTTAACTTAGTAGACATTATAATACTCTTCATCTTGGACCTTTGAAGCCGTTAGTAAGTCGCGATATAAATTCAGAAATCCTCACTCTGGACTAAACTACCATGCACTTCTCTTTGCAGGGTACTATTGCAAGTCATGCTTGTATTGATAGCCTACACTCCTGTGTGATCTCAAGTCATGCTTGTATTAATAGCCTACACTCCTGTGTGATCTCAAGTCATGCTTGTATTAATAGCCTACACTCCTGTGTGATCTCAAGTCATGCTTGTATTAATAGCCTACACTCCTGTGTGATTTCAAGTCATGCTTGTATTAATAGCCTACATTCCTGTGTGATCTCAAGTCATGCTTATATTAATAACCTACACTCCTGTGTGATCTCAAGTCATGCTTGTATTAATAGCCTACATTCCTATGTGATCTCAAGTCATGCTTATATTAATAACCTACACTCCTGTGTGATGTCAAGTCATGCTTGTATTAGTAGCCTACACTCCTATGTGATCTCAAGTCATGCTTGTATTAATAGTCTACACTCCAGTGTGATATCAAGACATGCTTGTATTAATAGCCTACACTCCTGTGTGATCTCAAGTCATGCTTGTATTAATAGCCTACACTCCTGTGTTATCTTAAATCATGCTTGTATTAGTAGCCTACACTCCTTTGTGATTCTCAATTCATGTTTGTATTAATAGCCTACACTCCTGTGTAATCTCAAGTCATGCTTGTATTAATAGCCTACACTCCTATGTTATATTAAGTCATGCTTGTATTAGTAGCCTACACTCCTGTGTGATTCTCAATTCATGCTTGTATTAATACTCTACACTCCTGTGTGATCTCAAGTCATGATTGTATTATTAGCCTACACTCCTGTGTGATGTCAAGTCATGCTTGTATTAATAGTCTACAGTCCTGTGTGATCTCAAGACATGCTTGTATTAATAGCTTACATTCCAGTGTGATCTCAAGTCATGCTTGTATTAATAGCCTACACTCCTGTGTTATCTTAAGTCATGCTTGTATTAACAGCCTACACTCCTATGTGATCTCAAATCATGCTTGTATTAATAACCTACACTCCTGTGTGATTCTCAATTCATGCTTGTATTAATACTTGACTTGAGATCACACAGGAGTGTAGCCTATTAATACAAGCATGACTTGAGATCACGCAGGAGTGTAGGCTATTAACGCAAGCATGACTTGAGATCACACAGGAGTGTAGGCTATTAATACAAGCATAACTTGAGATCACACTGGAGTGTAGGTTATCAATACAAGCATGTCTTGAGATCACACAGGAGTGTAGGCTATTAATATAAGCTTGACTTGAGATCACGCAGGAGTGTAGTGCTTGTATTAATAGCCTACACTCTTGTGTTATCTCAAATCATGCGATCAAAAAGAGATCACGATTTGTCAGAAGACATTGCATCACTGTGTAGTGTAGCGTGTTCGAAGCGTATTCCCCCAGTGGTACGGCGCATGTCTGCGGACATTTTAATGCCCCTTAGGCTAAAGGGGCGAGTATTTTAGTTGACGAGGTTTGAGCATGCGACCCACAGATTGCGAGTCGAGCGCCCTAACCACCAAATTGGAAACAGCATATATAGGTTCGTATTGATTTCTTCTAAAATGATGTCCCCCAATGCAGATTTACAACGCTAGAAACCGTGTTTCGATACCTGTGGGGAGCAGAGCACAGATAGCCCATTGTGTAGCTTTGTGCTTAACTACAAACAAACAAATCAAGTTGGAAAAGATGCTGATGTGTAGTAAGTGCGTTTATAAACTGAATATAAGCGTCGACCAACTGGCCATCATAGGTTGTGCACGTTAAATAGTCCATATGTTTTCATGACGTATTAAAATCGAGTACATTACTCCTTAACATCTTGTATACTATCAGTACAAAGGATGAATTTCAAAGTAATATTTTTGCATATAGACAGCTTTTTCAGTTGAAATATTAGCTATCATTGAAAGGTTTATATTTGTCTCGCATCTGTGTTATATTTATTGTTGCAAGTACCAAACGAGTAAAATAACATGTTTTTAAATTAAATCAACCTTTGTGGTGAATATTTCTAGATGAGAAGATTATATATATATATATATATAATACTTTTTGCGAAAATAATTGGTTTATTTGTTGTTATGCACTAAACTATTCCGTTGGCTATCTGGGTTCTGTCCACCACGGCTATCGAAACCCATTATTTAGCGTCGTAAGCCTGCAGATTTACCGCTAAACTCATTGATAACATTTTAAACAGTTATAATGGTAGTCGGTCTTATATTTCTTTAACTGGTTTATTATCTATCATAAGTTATTATACGAAAAAACAAAAATTGGTATATTCAATAACATCTAGTGTGGAAAAAAAACACAGTAGAAAGGAATTATCGAACACATGAAAACGTGAGTAATGGGTATCGAATCTAAAATCTTCGACATTATTTATTTATTTTTTTAGTCTTATAAAACAGAAAATATTGATAAATTTTCTATATTAATCCAAACACTTTGGCCACAAAATTTTATGTCTTTAACTAAAGTATCATACCTTTGGGAACTTAATCAGTCTAATATTTTATAATATTAATATATAAGCTCGCTTGATGACCGTCTTTACCTGCAGGTAAACATAATATGTATTTGTCAATAAAATAATCAATTCTTTGGGGAATATATGGCTTACAGAAATTGATTAATTTATGAACGACATGTTCTTCTATCCTTCTGTTATTAAACTGATTATTATCAATCCGAACAGCGCAATGATTTAAGGAAACTTTAAAAAAATTCAAAGCAATTTATTAAATTTACAAAAGATGTTTGGTCCAAAACCAAAAAGCTTTAACAAACAAAAGTCTTTTTAACGACAGATCATCTCAAGACAGTATATTTTTGTAAATTAAAAAAACTTTGTTTCTTTACTTCACTTTGTATAAATTTTCAAAGTTCCAGTTAACCATTCGAAGTATACACGATACCTTTATTTATGTATTTTATTATTTTTGTTTTTGCGTTATTTTACTAGAGATTGCATATGGAGTTTTCAGTATGTTCACTGACGAAATAATAATATATTGCTTTCATGAGATACATTAATTATATCAGATGCAGATAAAGATTTTAGCGAGTTAACCCTTTCTTTCCCTTACCCTTTTTGTTTCTTAAGTGTGTTACAAAAAATATCATATTTTTATTTCAGTTTTTGAAAGTGTGCGAAGTGAAATACAAAATATTTTGTAACAGTTTGGTACCAATTGTGTTACAGGAAAAACAACAACACAAGTGTTATAAAGCTTTTATTGTGTACGTGAGATATCTTATGAAATATAAGAAAAATGAAAAGAAAATAATACATCTAGGTTATTTCATGCAAATATACCTAGATATGTTATTTTGTTACACTATATCTAGTTTTATTTGTATGAAAAACCTTATACCTGCAGAAAATCTATTATACAACCTGTCAGAAAAACCTACAAAGTCTATAACATATTCAACAAGATGTTTGTTGTAGTATGGTAGATTTGGAAGCAAGGTGTGACACATAGTGGTACATCACAGTCAGAGATAAAAATACCTGTTTGTCCTGTCATCTCGCAGCAAAATATGGGATTACTATAAAATTTCAGTCTGACAACAAGTGTACTTGGGGGGAAAAACGTTCTGGGCACAAACATTCCGACCAAGGTATAATAATTATTTACAAGACCTCTTGGCCCGAGTATACTCGGGATAACTAGGGAAGTGATTAAGTGGTACCACAACTAATGTAAGGTTATTTAATGGTGTTTAAATCTAGCGTTTCTATCGATACGTTAAAACACCACTACAGATATGAAATGGTCCGCTAATTTATAAATGCACCGTTTCTAGTAGTTCATTAAATCATCACTGTAGTATAAAGCAATTCCCTGTTGTAGAAATGTAGTAGAAATTATTGGGTTCGCTGATATATGGGGTGGCCATAAAATTGATCCCTTTGCATTGTCATGGCTTTGAAACGTTACAACGAAAAGGTTACAATTGAGGTACATGATTATCAGCACATGGGAGAAAATGTTAACAGATAAAAATAAATTATAAAATCTTGCCTTCGGATGCGTAATTGTAACTATAAGTTGCACAATTAATCAAATAAAAAGAAATGCTGAAGCAGACTGAAATCACTTAGGTGCTACTTCAAGAACTGTTAGTATGACTCCACAACAGGAAACAAATCTCAACCTCTAAGATTACTGGTCATGATGTCACGTCAAGATTCGTGTTTACCTGGACGATATTCAATCATTCCTCACTCTGATTAACGCCATCTCACGCTTTCTTTCCTCAGGACATATTGCAATCGACTATTTTTAACATCATTCTTCGGCTGAATGATGTGGTTAAGAAAGAAGTGTACATTGAACATGTATAGAAATACGCCCCCTGGTGTTGCACACAATGCGATAAGTATGTTAAAATACTTTGCACGACTGCCACAACAACAACACCCTAGTTGTATATTTATCACTTAAAGGTTACAAAAATATTACTTCCATAAAATATTTTATGCATACTAATCATGCCTTATATTTCGTCTTCAATTTATAATGGACGTAATATTATTTCACTGTAATGGTTAAGATATAACAAGATGCCGTTAAACAACAAGAGAGAGGGCGTGCAAAAATTCGAGAGTGGAGTGTGCTCTAAAAATATTTCCGAAAAAAACAAACCATTTCGAAGTAATTAGATACTTTGTACTACTGAACGTCCTAGCTTCACAGCGACGTAGGAGTGCTTGGCTAACAAGCACTTGAGACAGTTGTAATGACTGAAACAGTTCTCGTTATTTATGATGACTGAAATAATGATCTTTTTGTTAGCGTTGTTTCTGTCTGAATTGAATAACAACTTAAATATCTTTAAAAACTAAAGTGCTCCTGGATTTAAATGTGTAATTGAAAACTACTATCCTACTTATTATGCATAAATTCAAGATAACAAATTGGAGTTGTTTTAAAGGTTAATTTGGTATGGACGGTGGGGAGTTTGATTATGAAATAAAGTTTTTATGCGCTTAATACTAGCATCAAAACGAGGATTTGTATGTTTTATAAAATTACTTTGAAGTAAAATCCGAGATCATGCAGGTTTCGAACTCAGTGAACACCAAGTTGTTCTAAACAAATCCCTTGAAAAACCATTAAGTGAAATATTCGACCGAATGACAGTTCAGTTACAATTAAAATTACCTTTATTTAACTGACAAACATCGACAATTAAACTTTATTACATTCCCTTTATGATGAAATAATCAAAATACATTGTACCATGTGCGTACCGTTTGATATTTAGTTACCAATATTGTCAATTTCTAAAAAAGGAGACACATTTGTTGTATCAGAAAATATTCATCTAGTTTCATCTAGCCAGTTTCCTAGATCTAAAAAAAAAAAAGAAACTTTACATTATTCTATATCACTTTTGGCGGATTGTATATTATATATTCTGGTGCTCATCAGCTGCGAATTATGTTAGTCCACTTATATTGTGATTCCTATAGTTGAATAAAGCAATCTAAATTTGCCAATCAAAGTAGGGATTGAAAATCGTTTTAAAATCTATCCAACCAGTATCACTTTACTAGTTTGTGTACTTTTTATTGCAGCAATTATTTTGTTTTGGATACTTCTTATAGAAATTCTACGAATAACCAACGATCTCTATTTTCCGTTAAAGTATCATTCAACTAGTATCACCTTACTAGTTTGTGTACTGTGACGGATTTATTATTATATATTTATTTTAATATCAACGTTTGTTTAGATTAAGTTTATATTTAGAAACATGCATAGCTTATAGTATCAAATATGTATTGCGAAACTCGCGCCTATTCTCCAAAGTTGTAGAAGATTCTCGAGTGTAAGAATAAAAAATATTTGTATGTACGTAAACGCTTAATGTAGCTTTGCATTGTTACGTAATCTGAATTTTCTAGAAACTCTCCACACACCTATAAATATAACCAACGCGACGCGCCAAAAAAAGATTATCTATTATTAGTTTGCTGTAATTAGTGCGCTATAAGCTTCGTAAGTTATAGCTGTGATTGTTATAACGTTTATCAATCGGAAAACTTCAGATATCTGACCAGGAACATTTACAAAGTTCGAACATTACAAATTATTTAACTTCAGTGGATTCTCATCGGACATTAGTATTTTTACGAAAACATTACTTAACGTCACCGGTAGGAAATATATCGGCGTGTGATCAGCGAGAGCTACAGGTCTGTGTAGCTCCCTATTAAATGAATAATTCGTAATTAATTCGCTCATCAAGGAGGTTTCAGATTAGAAAGAAGTCTTTATATTACTTATAAGTTTGTAAAATTTTTGTATATAATCATTGTGTGTAATAACTGTTATTGTAAATTGTATTGTTGTTTATATATTAAAACATATTTGTGTTAAAAAAGAAAACTACGTATCAATCTTGTTGACAAATATCATAAACCGACTATATATCGGCTTTTACTCAACTGCTAAATCCAAAGTACAATCTAACTACTAAATTTAAAGTATCATTTAACTCAATTTCAGACCATTCGAAATTGTAATACGTAACAAACTAAGTCTAGCGCAGATAGCCCTCATGTAGCTTCGCGCGAAATTCAAACAACAACAACCACTAAGTCTTGTCTTACCTTGCCACCATAGAACGGGTGTGGTTAGTAGTTAGCGTGCCTGGATTGTTAAACCAAGGATTTACTGTTCGCGTTTCGTTGCTGCAAAAAGCCACGCTCCGCACTTTAAAGCAATAGATGCATCGTAAGAGTGATGGTCAAACCCCACTATTCGATCAGACAAGAGTAGCAAGACTTGTTGGTCAGTGCTGTTGATTAGCCTTCACAATAGTCTATCAGTTTAAAACTAAGGACGGCTGTGCGCAGATAGCTGTCTGTATAGCTTTGCGCGAAATTCGAAACAAACCATTCTTTTGGTCAGCAGTTCAAACTTAGGGATAGCGGCAAATAGCCATAGCTTGGCCATAAATAAAAATACCGCTATTTAACAATAATTACACAAAACAAAATGAAAAGTTGCCGGATACCATATATCTTTAATTCCCTTTCACAAGATATTATATATTCAAAGAAAATATCTGAAATTCAAATTGAAATAATTGAATTATTATTAAATTAAAAAATAAAGTGTGCAGCATAAATTATAAGACATATGTGTATATGTTGAATTTAACATATACATATATTTAACATAATTCGATCTTTGGGTAAACAGTTTAATCATTAATGTGAGTCTGGAATTTTTGGGACACCCTGTAGTGTAACATAGATGAAAATGTGCTCAATTTACTGCAACTTCTTGTAAGGTTAACGTTATAACAGTCACCTAAAAGATTTAAATGTATAGTGGTTTATTAACGTTCGGTTTTACATTGTGATATCGATTTATTGACATTCGTTCTTTCATTGTGAACGTTTCTGTTGATAATAACATAAATATGTTTCTGGTTTATAAGCAAGTAAGTCAATAAATAAGAGCAGTTATATTAGAAAAAAAAACGCTTTATTATTTAAGAATTACTAAATCCTTTCTATCGTTGCGATTTCTGTTTCAAAACAAGGATTTTTTATTATCTCAGAGAATTAATAAACTGTTTTCCAAAGCAGAAGTTTCGAATCGAAAATAATTATGGAAAAAAAATTACTCTTGCATAACTTGTTCGTCATAATCTAGATTTGACTGTTACCTAAATTCTTAAGTCACTACAAATTCTTTGCAAATTAAATTCTGAATTAATCGCATTGTTCTTCAAAGCAAACTACATCTAAAATTGAAAATTTATGTGTAAAAATAAAAGAAATAAAAAGTAAACAAATAATTGTTTCATTTAGTGCTATAAGCATATTTTTAATCAAAAATGTTTGATTTAAAGTGTAACTATCATAAAAAAATGTTTGTGTTTAACATAAAATTACGACTGTCAGAGTGTAAAACTGATCTATAAATGAAGGGTTTATTTAAAAACAATGTTAAGTTATAAATATCGTCATTAAAATATATTTTTAATTGTGTGTATAAATTGAATTTGTAAAATATAATAATGTGCTGATGAACAAATTTAGGGTAATCGTCATAGAATAGTGAAACAGATGCACTTTACAAGATGGCCAGACTTTGGATGTCCCGAAAACACAGAAGTCATGATCAATTTCGTTCGAGCTGTCCGAGATCATATCCCTCGCATAAATCATGGGCCTTTGGTAGTACACTGCAGGTATATATTGTACTCGATACGAGCCACGTGTGGGAATATTGTAAAAGTGATAGTTATTCAGTAGACATTCTGAACTATTGTTTAGTTAGGGGCAGTCTTCAGTAATAATTATTTGTAGTTACAAAAAGTGATAGACATTGTAATCTACGTTAAATTGTGAATTAGCAAAAGGCTAGAAACATAATATAGTGCTTAATTATGAATATGGATAAAATTACAAATAGTTTAATATACTCTACAGTTGTAACACAGAAACAGTATGAACATTGTTTAACGTAGTGTATAGTTGTGAATACAGAAACTGATGTAAATATTATTGGCCTAAAATTGCAACTTATGAATGGGAAGCACTCAAGCTAAATTGTTCTGCAAGGATAAAAAATACGTTTAGAAAACAAACAAATAACTTAACTTTATGATTTTACTTTTTTTTACAATCTAAGTTACAGTATGATATAAATTAGTAGGCACGTGTTTATCTATACTTTAATTATCTTGAATACATAGCACATAATTTCATATTAATCTTCAAAAAAAGGCAAAAATAATGAGTATATAGATGGATATATATAAAAGAGATGCTGGTTAGACAATTAATCGTAAACGAAAATCACATATTAAATATATTTCATACTGTCATCATGTGTTTAACACATACTTAATACACTGATGTCTAGTGCCGGTGTAGGACGGACAGGAACATTCCTAGCTTTGGATCGTCTGATGCAACACATCCGGGTACATGATTACGTCGACGTATTCTGGACAGTGCTGGAGATGCGCGAATATCGGTCTAACTTGGTACAGACTGAAGTAAGTATGCATATTGTTCTCTATACCTTATTAAACAAAACTGACTACAGCAGTACAGAAACAAACATCCATGTTCATTTTTCAATTTTTCGTTAAAAACAAAAAGAGCTATTGAATTTTGAAATGCTAAACGCACGAATGTTAGAATTTGTTTGTATCAAGTTATTTTTGTAAGTAAATTACAAGTGTTGAGTGTTTAGCTGATCCAAACAAGTACTAAGTGTTTACTTATTCAAAATAAGAGTTGAGTTTTAAATTGCTCAATGTAAATTTTGGGCTTTTGATCATTCAATACACGTGTTTGGTTGTCAGTTATTCGGAACACGTATTAGATTTCAATTTTCCGTTACAAATGATAAGCTTTATAAGTGACAAACAGTTTTAAGGGTTTCCTTGACCAACACAATTTTTAGAGACCACTGAAATAATAAAATTCAATGAAATAAATGAGTAACACGACTTGCTAGATACGTTAAGCCTAGTGGGTTGAGTTTTGGGCCATAGTTTTAAACTTTAAAACACTGTATCGAGTTCCTCGGTGGGACAGTGGTAAGTCTACGAACTTACAATGCTAAAATCTGAATTTCAATTCCTTGCGGTGAACACAGCAGATAGCACAATGTGGCTTTGCTTTAAACAAACAAACACTATATCGAAAAAAAAAATTAAAACACAGCATTGATTAATCAGTTGAGTATCTTCAGTCTTTAAGGTTTCGACCTATCAAACTTTTAGTAAGATGAGTTCTTCAGACACAAATCTAAGTATAAAAGAAGAAATTGTTAATTACTAAAGTAAAATAAGCAACAAATAAGAACTTAGGCTCGTGAACCTGTTTACAAAATATCAGTGCCTGTTTTCATTAAAGGCGTATACTGTTATCAAAGACAGTACCAGTAGAAAAATCTAGATCATTAAAAATATCATAATTATCCAGAATCAGTAGTGTAATACAACGACAACCTTCATTAAGTGATATATATAGCTTTCATTTCTAGACATGTAAGCATTCCGATCGACATGTGAAACTCATTAGTGATTTTCAAAGCAAATACAGTGCGATCTTAAATGCAAATGTAACAGAAAATCCTTAATATTATTACATGTATTTCATAAGTCACATTTTGGGTAGAAACTGCCGTACAAAGCTAGCACTTTTAAACATTAATGCAAACCTATTAAAAAGTGTACGTTTGTCAAAACATATTGCAACATATCCCTTTGAGATGATCCCGAATTCCATTCTAAACGGTTTAAAGTCTTCGTGTGATGATCACGCCACGTCAATCAAAGTCAGACATAGTCACATAGTAACACTCACGCAAAATAATCACGTGACAAGAAATTGGTAACTTGAAGTTCATTAAAAGTAGAATTTTTATAGATAAACATTTCTCTGAGTCTCTTTGTATGGCATTTAGTTATGATTGTAATAATACAGATTATCTATGATATACTTGTAAATAAAAGACGAACTCATGAAAAAAGAATCTGTATTTTAGTCAGCACCTGAAGTGTCATACTTTTTATTTTGATATCCGTTAAATTGTTAAAATGAATTAAATATAGAACTTTTTTTTAATGTTTGCAGGTACCTTTAGTACGTGAGTATTTCTTGACAGAATATTTACTCCCTAAAAAGCGAAGTTTGCGAGAGTTATGTTTTTACTCCATCTGTATTTGACTGTTAAATGTCTCAAACATTTGTTATGACGAGTAACCCACTTTTCGAAAATAAAGTTTGGAGACGGCTTGAATGGGTTATGAAAGAAATTTTACTTTTAATAACGTTTCTTTCATTACCTATTCAAGTCGTTCTCTAACTTTATTCAAATATTATTTTATAGAATGAAACCGTTTTGAACAAAGAGTTTAAATATTACATAAAACAATTTCTTTAAGTTTTAATATCAGTAAATACAAAAATCACAATAATATTTTCTTTATCTCAGAATAAAAGGTTACATTTAAGCGAGACGTAGAAGGCACGTGGAGTATTTTTTAATTGCGTTGCCTTGATCCATAAATTCCAAGGTCGAGTGAGGCGTGAAACAACTTGCACCATTTTCAACTGGGATATATTTTGCGCTTAAGCATAGTAACGCTTTAACTTTGAAATACCAAAAAGATAAATTTCGAAGGTACTTTTTGAGACAAACAAACCTTAAAACGGTTATGTAAGATTTGAATTCCTTCACAATAATTCAACCACTTGAGCGGATGATCAAAATTCAAAACCAGAGTCTCATCACTCCTGAAACATAATTTGTTAATGAAGGAGTCGTGTTTTAAAAAAATATATATATATATTTGGTATAGTGTTTGTTTGTTTAGAACAAAGCCACATTAGGCTATCAGCTGTGTGTCCCCCGCAAGGAATCGAAACTCAGATTTTAGCATTGTAAGTATGTAGACTTACCGCTGTCCCACCGGGGAACTCAATATAGTGTCTTTCAGGATAACAGTTTTATTTTCTTTGTCTGAGCAAACTTTAAAGCTTTTATATTGCTCTGGAGAAACTGTTATATTTTATTATCAGTCTCATCACACATGCCTTCAGTGACTCAGCGATAAATGTGGGCTTATAACGTTAACATTTGGGTTTGAAACCTGCGGTGGGCACATTGCAGATAGTTTATTATGTAGCTTTACTAAAATAAAAAAGAGTCGCAGCACAAACAAGAACAATAGGACTATTATGCCAAAAAATAAATTTTACTATTAGGTCGTCAAGAAATTAATGTCGCGTTTTGGAACACTTGCATTCACTACCCTTCAAAAAACGTCCATCACGTATAATAGTTAAACG